CGTATACTGTTTATAGTAAATTTTTCACTATTGGCAACTTTTGACCTACATGAGGCACGGGTTAACAACATCTGATCAGTGTAAAATTTGACAGGCCTTTATATGATCAAAAGTAAAAAATTAAGGGGGTGAGATAATTGAAATTTAGAATTTAAAAAATAAGGACCACCCTAGTGTACATATATGTACAAAACAATAAAATTATTATTAAAATGAAATATGACTTCACAATAAACGATGAGGAAATGATTAATGTGAAACTAAAATATAAAACCGAAACTGAACACTCAGTATACTATATATACAGCCCAAAGAAATAAATGCAAATTAAAAGTGATGTTTTTGAAACAGACAAAACTTTATTACGGAGTCGGTAAGGATATTTTGGAGTTCTTTGGTCAAGAACCGGACAAATTATTTTGGCGACGTCCAGATACAAAACATCTTGGAGGTAATTTAAAACAACTTACTGTAAACACAGTTGGGTTTGATGCGGTCGGTCGGTGGCCGGACGGCAATTCTTTCGCCGGTACTGCTGCATAATTAATCCCTGCTCGGAGGGGCTGCTTCCGCTTATATGCACTCTGCGCGCGTCTCAATCGTGACAGTATGCCTGACCAATCGCGTTAATGATCAGCCTTGTTTTAGATTCTATGTTCTGGCTTAGCTGTACGTTGCAGTGCTCGGATATTTGAAACCCTGTATAGGCTTACTCTGTCTTGCCTAAGCATGCTTTCTCTGTCTTGCCTGCTCTGCTCGCGCCGTAAGTGGGCGAGGCGTATGCTATACGGGGTTTTTAAGGACATTCCAGGTAGAGCGTATTTTTCGTTCTTGCGTTCGAAAATTTGTTTCCAGTTATATTATTATAATATATATTATTATATATAATTATTATTATTATATATAATTATTAATATTATATATAATAGGTATATATTTATATAATTATTATATTATTCTAGCGGGCATTTCAGGACTCTTGGATAAAACTTCATATTTCAACAACAGTTGAAGTTAGCGACTTCATTTTTTTTTTAAACTGTGTCAATGTTTTGACTACATTTGACTCGATATATATGTATAGAAATTTTCAATAATTCACATAGTTCGCCGCAGGGTAAAATTTTTGATGCGAGATTTTGATAATTCTATATTAAAATTTTTTTTTTCAAAATCTTTGGAAATTTTTAAAATTTCTGAATTGCTATTAGAAGCGCTCACATTTCAAGTATAAGTCTGCAAAAAATCAGAATTTTAGATTGTATTCTAGAATTAATACGGTTACGAATCACCCACACTCATAGTGGAACATAAAAATTCATATTTCAACAACCTTTAAAGTTAGCAAATTAATTTTTTTTTTTAATAACTTTATCAATGTTTTAACTACATTTGACTCGATATATATGTATAGAAATTTTCAATAATTCACATAGCTCGCCGCAGGGTAAAGTTTTTGATCCACGATTTTGATGATTCTATAATGCAAAATTTTTTTTTTCAAAATCTTTAGATTTTTTTAAAATTTCTGAATTGCTATTAGAAGCGCTCACATTTCAAGTATAAATCTGCAAAAAATCAGAATTTTATATTGTATTCTAGAATTAATACAACGATTAATGTTACGAATCACCCAACCTCACAGCGGAATAAAATCGCCGTGTGAATTTAAAATTCTTTTTAAATTTTATTATGCAAAATATGAAAATTTTCCAAAAAATTAGTAATTTTTAATGCCAAGAAATCAATTTTTCTAAAATCTGTTGCAGATACAAACAATGAAATAATAATAATAATATTTTTGGGACACATTTTTTTTTCAAAAATCACTAATTAATTAATTAATCATATAACTACAACAGAAAATGGTTAGTACAAGTCAAAAAGATAAACTAAAAGTATACTGAACATAAATTTGCTAAAATATAAGGATGATATTTTTTAACAAAATTTGTTAATATTTAATATTTTTTGAATATTTTTTAATATTTTGATTTGCTAATATTTAATATTTCTATTAAAAAAAAATCAATAAAAATATTTTAACTCAATGATTTTTTGTTAGTTTTTTGCTATATAATAAAAAATTAAATTAAAAGTTTAACCGTTAACTAACCTCATGGATGTGTTTATATTTTAAATTGAAATTACTAATATAAAAATTCATATTTCTGTAACCGTTCGGTATTAAATCTTCTCATTTGTACCTTGCTAAATATTTTTTTACCTCTTCGTAATTTAATCCCGAATGTTTATTTTGGTCAAAATAATTATTTTGACCAAAATAAACAGGTTAGTTAGCGGTTAAACTTTTAATTTAATTTTTTATTATATAACAAAAAACTAACAAAAAATCATTGAGTTAAAATATTTTTATTGATTTTTTTTTAATAGAAATATTAAATATTAGCAAATCAAAATATTAAAAAATATTCAAAAAATATTAAATATTAACAAATTTTGTTAAAAAATATCATCCTTATATTTTAGCAAATTTATGTTCAGTATACTTTTAGTTTATCTTTTTGACTTGTACTAACCATTTTCTGTTGTAGTTTAATTAATTAATTAGTGATTTTTGAAAAAAAATGTGTCCCAAAAATATTATTATTATTATTTCTTTGTTTGTATCTGCAACAGATTTTAGAAAAATTGATTTCTTGGCATTAAAAATTACTAATTTTTTGAAAATGTTCATATTTTGCATAATAAAATTTAAAAAGAATTTTAAATTCACACGTCGATTTGTGTGAGGGTGGGTGATTTGTAACATTAATCGTTGTATTAATTCTAGAATACAATATAAAATTCTGATTTTTTGCAGATTTATACTTGAAATGTGAGCGCTTCTAATAGCAATTCAGAAATTTTAAAAATTTCTAAAGATTTTGAAAAAAAAAAAATTTCCATTATAGAATTATCAAAATCGTGCATCAAAAATTTTACCCTGCTATGTGAATTATTGAAAATTTCTATACATATATATCGAGTCAAATGTAGTTAAAACATTGATAAAGTTATTAAAAAAAAAATTAATTTGCTAACTTTAACGGTTGTTGAAATATGAATTTTTATGCAAGATTTTAATTTCAAACGGAGAAGCGATTGTATTCCACTATAAGTGTGGGTGATTCGTAACATTAACCGTTGTATTAATTCTAGAATACAATCTAAAATTCTGATTTTTTGCAGACATACTTGAAATGTGAGCGCTTCTAATAGCAAAAAATTTTAATATAGAATTATCAAAATCGTGCATCAAAAATTTTACCCTGCGGCGAGCTATGTGAATTATTAAAAATTTCTATACATATATATCGAGTCAAATGTAGTCAAAACATTGACACAGTTTAAAAAAAAAATGAAGTCGCTTACTTCAACTGTTGTTGAAATATGAAGTTTTTATATATAATATTAATAATTATATATAATAATAATAATTATATATAATAATATATATTATAATAATATAACTGGAAACAAATTTTTGAACGCAAGAACGAAAAATACGCTCTACCTGGAATGTCCTTAAAAACCCCGTATAGCATACGCCTCGCCCACAGTTCGATTTTAACTTGTATAATGTGCGCGTCGATTTTAACTTTAATTTAAACAGTTGTGGACTTTTTTTATTTTCAACGAGACAATTTTTTAAACGTATCCAAGCCCACGGGGGCCCAAGGACCCGTGGGCTTTTATGCCAAAAGGGCACAAAAGTCAACTTTTATCAGATAAGATCTCGAATTTTACACAGTTGCCAGATTGTGCAAAATTTCCCAGAATCTGGGAAATTTTTGAAATCATCAGAAATCAATCTAGATCTTACAAATGACTGCCAGAACACCTCCTACGGATTTGTCATCCACAATCCCGCCGCAGCCGTCCCATCCAGCGGGCACAACCATCCCAGCCAAGGCAAGCACCTCTGCAAACCTGAAGAAGATGTCAGAACTCATCCTGAACAAACCACCGGTCGATCAAAATGAAACCATTAAGAAGCTTACTGAGGCCCTGATGCGTAAGGACAGCCAGATTGACGACGTGCACCGCCGATTGGTTGCCATTACAGAAGACAACAGAGTCCTTCAACAAAAAATCGATGAACTGATCGAAAAACTGTGAAAACCATCAAAACCAGTAATCAAACCAGTGACAAAAACGAGAAAAAAGGAAAAATAACGGATGAAGAGGATACAGCATCAAAAAAGAAGCCATCCCAAGAAAAAACCAAAGAGGCAGCAGTGGTATGCACCGGGAATAAAGAAAATCCTGTCCCCTCGGTACCCAAAGCACCAAAAAAGGATGAGAAGAGAAAGAATCCAGATAACAAACCCTCTACAGGACATGGAAAACCCATCCTAGAGACAATAGCAGCACCCACAGGGCATACAGAAAATCCTGACCCTCCCCCGGTTGTCAAAATCCCACCAATAGTAATTCGCCAAAAGGACAATTGGATTACACTATCAAAAAAGCTAGACCAGAATAACATCAAATTTCACAGAGCACAATGCATCGCAGATGGCATCAGGATCTTCCCCTCTACACCAGAAGATTTTAGAAAGCTCACATACATTCTAAACAGCGATAATATTCCATACCACACCTTCCAACTGCCCGACGAAAAGCTACTACATATTGTCATTCGAGGAATTCCCACGGAAATTGACATAAAAGAGGTAGAAGAAGACCTGGGTGGCGATTCTCGAGTTAAGAGAACGCTTCTCATAGGAGAAGTGGGCATTTCTCTCAAGTTTTGACAGGCTGCATTAATTAATTTAAGATAAGTTAGTGCGTTCTTCTCTCGGAAACTCTTTTCTGCTTTAGGAAAACCAAACTATTGCATGATTTTAAGAATGCAGCCTGTCAAAACTTAAGTGAAACACGCCCACTTCTCATGAGAATAGCGTTCTCTCAACTCGAGAATCGCACCCCTGAAAGAGAAAGGCTTCAATCCCACATCCATCGTTAGGATGACCAAAGGCAAAGAAAAAACCCCAATGCCTCTCATACTAGTTTTCCTGCCAAGGTCAGAGAAGAGCATCTTCGACACTAGCACCATCCTAAACCTGAAAATCAAGGTAGAAACACAACATAACAAGGCCGCGATCAGTCAATGCTTTAGATGTCAGCGTTTTGGCCATGGGCAAAGTAGGTGCACGGCCCCGCCAAAGTGTGTGAAGTGCGCCGGAGAACATCTTTCCAATGACTGCACGAAATCAAAAGAATCCAAGGCTACCTGCGCAAACTGCGGCGAAAGTCATCCTGCAAGCTACAGAGGCTGCCCAAATTATCCAAAGCTAGAACAAAAACCCCAAGAAACCAAGTCAGCGCAACAACAACAACCATCAAGAAGCTATGCACAGGTCTCAAGAAATACTGCAACAACCAACGACATGACGGCACACCTCCAGAGGTTCAGCGAAATGTTCCAACAAATGCAACTGATCGCAAACCAAATTCAGTCAGTTTTCCTTTCGGCCACGTCTATTCCTCAAGCTGTCAAAAATGTATAATCTCAGAAAACCTGTCCACCTCAGAATTATTGCATGGAATGCAAATTCACTACGTAACAAAAAAGAAGAACTCATTGAAATCCTGCAAAGACTGAAAATAGACGTGGCTATGATTGGGGAAACACCCTGGAAAGCATACGACGACACCACCTTTTCCAACTACTACACCTACTTCTGGAATAGAACTAGGAGAGAAGGTGGAGGCACGGCGATCCTAATCAAAAGGAACATCGAACGCTATGAAGACCACACACCAGCCCTGGAAACTCTGCATACTTTCCGCCATAACGCCAAACTTCGGAAGCTGACTTGGAAAAGGCCATGCGGGTAGACAATATCCCAACTATTCTTGCAGGCGACCTTAACGCCAAACATACCACCTGGGGCAGCAGAGTGGTGAATAGCTACGCAGAGCTCTCCTGAGAGCAGCAAATAGGCATGCCTGGGAAATTCATGCCCCAGACACTCCCACAATTTTCCCAGCCCAGGGTGGCCTCCCGGACATCATAGACATCGCACTGGCCAGGCAAGTTACGCACAACATCGACGTCTCCACACTTTCAGAGCTTACTTCCGACCATAACCCATTATTGATAATAGTGGGCAACGACCCCTTAAGTAGGATAGAAACTGTCAAAAAAACCAACTGGAATGCCTTCACGAAACATCTAGAAAACTCCTTCTGCCTAAAGCCTCACAACCGCCCGGACCTACTCGAACTGGTGATAGACTCACTCCAGGACAACATCAGGGAATTCTACGAGCTGTCTACAAAAAACGTCCCGCCCTTCGACACATATAACATCCCCAGAAGAATCCAAAACCTACTAAACGAAAAGAGGAAGGCCATGAAATTAGCGCAACGTACCCTCGACCCAGCTCACAAAAGAACGGCAAACAAGCTAGGAAGAATTGTAAAAGCCCAGTTAAACCAACTACGAAGCGAACGATGGGAAGATACTCTGTTAAGCCTGCCGCACAGCCACGACAATATGTGGAAGGTAGTCAAAAAAGTAAGGAACAGCCCACAACAAATCCCCCCACTTACAGGACAGAATGGAATAATTTACGCCCCCGAGGAAAAGGCAGAAATCTTCGCAAACATCTTAGAAAGGCAGTTCCAAAACAACCCCACTCGTCATAACAACCAACAAGACGATCCAGACGATGCACAGCAAACATTACCACATCATGGCATCGGAGTCACTCGAATAACAACTGAAGAACTAACATCTTACATCAAAAACCTCAAATCCAAAAAAGCACCCGGCCCTGACGGATTCACAAATCAGTTAATCAAGAACCTTCCAACCAAGGTGACATCTGGTCTCCTAAACTACCTTAACGCAATGTTTGACCTGGGACACTTTCCATCGGCGTGGAAGGAAGCCGTAGTCGTAATGATCCCAAAACAAGGCAAGCCTAGAAAACTCCTGGAGAGCTACCGCCCAATAAGTCTTCTATCAGCCCTTGGAAAACTAGCAGAAAAGACCATCTATTCTAGACTTGAGGAAGAGGTCGAAGCATTAAACATTCTACCACCAGAGCAATTTGGCTTCCGCCCAGGACACTCGACGGAGCACCAGACAACCCGAATAAAGGAAATGATAATCGAAGCAGCTAACCACCGAGACTCAACAGGAATCGTCCTGATGGACGTTGAAAAGGCTTTCGATCGGGTGTGGCACACCGGCATGATTCTCAAGATGAACCATTTCTACATACCGTACTACCTAATGAAGCTAATTCAATCATACTAAAGAGGCAGATCCTTTAGAGTCAGAGTCGAGGGGAAGACATCAACGAGAAAAGCAATAAACGCTGGAGTCCCACAAGGATCCATTCTTGGTCCCTTACTCTACAACATTTATACAGCAGACATCCCCCACACTCAAGGCACATCGTTAGCGCTATATGCGGATGACACCGCCATCCTCGCCTCCAGCAGAGATCCCATGTTGATACACAAGAACCTGAACAATGCCTTGAAAGTGCTGGATGAGTGGTTCGACAAGTGGAAGATCAAAGTCAATCCAGTTAAAACCCAGGCAAACTGCTTCAAGTATCTGGGGATAATATTCGACAAAAAACTAAACTGGCACGAACATATAACAGACAGAGCAAACAAGGCGAGAGTGGCCACACGCCTACTAGGACCAATAATAAATCACAGGGCAACCAACCTACGTGTCAAGAGGCTTCTGTACAAGAATGTGATTCTCCCTGCCATGACTTATGGAGCAGCAACGTGGTGTGGTGCTTCTAACCAACAAATTAAAAAACTCCAAACAGTACAGAACATCACGGCAAGAAGGATGACTCCTTGGTTCGTCAGAAATGCGGATATTGCGAGAAAACAAGAAGAACAGTCAATTCGATGGAAGCAAGTGCTAACCCAATAATTCGTGAGATTATGAACTACACGCCCAATGACAACATTCCAAAAAGAACAAAGCACTTCATATAACCATTCTACTGTGATATCTTATCTAGTCAGACACTTATCAATAGAACCGTTTTTTACTTTTACACATGTCTTTTATCGTCCACTTTTTATTTATACAATCCTTTATGTTTCTACTACAACTTCGTATTTATTGATCATATTTTCTGTCCACTATACTCTTGTATCTATTTATTCATTTCATCTAGTCACCATATTTTCATATTTATAAGCGTCCAACCCCCCCCTTATGTGCCGCGATGCCGAACTGAGTAAGTGTCAACGCACAGACAAACAGCAAACGTCAATTCAATTTTTTACTAAACTACTTCCCCCAAATGAAGGGGGTCTCTATCAAATCTTGAGGTAAAGGAAAACTGAACTTATTTCCAACCCTGATCACAAAAAAGAAGACCACAGCAGCAGCAGCAGCAGCAGCAGCAGCAGCAGCAGCCTTGCCCACTGACGGCGCGAGCAGAGCAGGCAAGACAGAGAAAGCATGCTTAGGCAAGACAGAGTAAGCCTATACCGGGTTTCAAATATCCGAGCATGACGCCACGTTTGAATACAGTTTTCTAAACCCTCGCCACGGTATAGAGTTGTATTCGTCAGTCGAGCGTTTCAATACCAATACTCTCCACAGTATAGAGGCTCTATACTGTGGAGAGTATTGTAACGCTCGACTGACGAATACAACTCTATACCGTGGCGAGGGTTTAGAAAACTGTATTCAAACGTGGCGTCATCCAATACACTTCTATATTTTTCCGTTTGCTGTGTAACTTATCAACTTTGAATAAAATACGCAAATTTTAAAAATTTCCTGTGGCCACCCCAAAAGATGTGCCTAAACAAAACCCCCTGGAATTGTTTAAGTTATATGTTAACTTTTTCCCCCATCACAAAATTCTTTGCCTGCCCTTACGAACCCCCAATCCACACCTACTTATAAAACAACTTATAAATTTTTAATAAAATACGCAAACTTTAAAAATTCCCTGTGCCCACCCCAAAAGATGTGCCTAAAGATTTATAATATTATACATATTATGTTAACTTTTGCCCCTCTTATGACAAAATTCTTTGCCTGCCCTTGCAAATCGCTATCAACACATAAAATATAGAAACTAATACATTTTTATAAAATACGCAAATTTAATATGTTACACCAATAGATGTTTCTCAATAAAGCCCCCTTGAATTTCATTTTTATTTTTTGGTCCACTTTTAATCTTATTAAGTAAACGAACTCTTTACAAAATCTTAATTTTAAATCGCGAGCTTGATAATTTGCACCAGAGTTGCTGAAATTTTTTGTACAATTTGATTATCAAATTGTACAAAAAATTTCAGCAACTCTGGTGCTACTACAACACTCACTGATGTTATTCTGTTACATTGACCAAGGGCGCCCACAGAAAATTGTCTAGGGGGGGTCAAAAACTATAAATGACAGTCTAGAAATTTAAGACAAATATTTTTTATTAAACAATTTAAAAACATTTAGTTGAATCTGCTTAACTACAATATTTATTTTTGTACCAAGTTAAGAGCAAATAGGGACCAAGAAGAAACAAAAAAATACTTTTTACTACCTTATTTTTATTTATGAATAATAATCGGCAATAATAACAATGTAATTTTACATAGTGTTTTTGTAGAAGTAGGAAGTAGCTAATTGCTATAAGCAATTGGCAATTTGCTAATTCAAGATCTCTGATATATTGAAAATATGATTATATTATCGCAAATATTTTATTTTGGTAATAAATGCGAAGATTTTCCCTCCGGGCGCCCATGACTAACCCACTTCACTGTATCCCCTAATTTCAGTTTTAAAACCAGTTATGGCATATTTTTTCGGATACTTCGCTCACTCGTTAAATAGGTTGAAGGAATTCGAATAACAAGAACCAAACATTAACAAAATAATCTGTATCCTTTGAAATTTAACAAAATGCTTACAAAATTGCATTTAAACTTTCGGTAAAATATGTTTCTTTGTTAAACTCATGTTAACAAATCTGATTTTTATAACACTGTAAAAATTGCTAGTTACAAAAAACCCAATTATTATACTCGATTTTAGGACTTGATGAATTTTAAAATTAATAACGAGGAGGCAATCGATCGCAGCTGTTGGCAGGCAGTGGTGGGTTTGGGCAGTCTTGTGTTAGAAATTACATTTTTATTGTATGATAATAAAACACCTAGATAATGCAAATATTAATTATATACCTACTTTTATGAAAACCAACACATAAATCAAATTAATTTATAAAGTAAGTGAAAAATTAACAATTAAATGTAATTTAGAAATTGCATGCCTTTGGATAACATGTGGAGATTTTGTTTAATCAAGTTTATTATGCACATGCACATCTTATCATCTATTTGCGATCTTCAACTATAGTATATTTGCTTTCACTGAATGAATTACTATTTTTAACACGCAAACGCTAAATTCGAATTCTTACACATGAGCACATTCCTAATTATTTAGAA